ATCATTTTGGAGAAGACATCTAGAGAGATTGAAGCAAAATATGTTGATTATCTCTCTGGTTTAATGGGGAAGAAGATCGTGCCAGTTGGTCCGCTTGTTCAAGAGCCAATGGATCTAAAAGTCGATGAGGAAACATGGATCATGAAATGGCTGAACAAAAGGGAGAGGGCATCAGTTGTGTATGTTTGCTTTGGCAGTGAGTACTTTCTAACCAAGGAGGAAATCGAAGAGATAGCTCATGGGTTAGAGCTTAGCAAAGTGAGCTTTATTTGGGTTATAAGATTTCCAAAGGAAGAGAAAGGTAGAAGGGTTGAAGAAGTATTACCAGAAGGGTTTTTAAAGAGGGTGGGGGAGAAGGGAATTATAGTGGAGGGTTGGGCTCCACAGGCAAAAATATTGAAGCATTTTAGTGTTGGTGGGTTTGTGAGTCACTGTGGATGGAGCTCAGTGTTGGAGAGCATCAAGTTTGGTGTTCCAATTATAGCCATGCCTATGCATCTTGACCAGCCGATTAACTCTAGATTAGTAGAGGAGGTGGGTGTTGGTGTGGAGGTTAAGAGAACCGCAGAAGGCAGCCTGCAAAGAGAAGAGGTAGCAAAGGTGATCAGAGATGTGGTTGTGGAAAAAATTGGAGAGGGAGTGAGGAAAAAGGCATTGGAAATAGGAGACAGCATGAAAAAAAATGAGGATGCAGAGATTGATGGGGTGGTGGAGGAATTGATGCAACTCAGGACGAAAAGGAAATCGAATGTCAACACTTGAATAATAATCATGTGTAGCATGATTATTGCTCACGTCAGTGTCTAAAAATCTATGTTGGTTTTGACTTCTTTGTAGTTTCAAGTGGTGTTGGTTTTCTTTGTAGTTTGAAAAGAGGTTGACCTGAGTACTCATTTTCTAATGATTTTGAATGCTCACATCAGCTTATGTGTGTATGTTTGAATGCTCACGTCATATGTATGTATATATACATGTATGCATCTGTGAATAAAATTTTTGAATATGAAAATATCTCATAATTATCCTAGAAACTGAGACTCCATCCATTCCCAACTGAGACTTCTATAAGAAACTGTTGTCTGTAGAAAGAGTAAAACCATATGGACTTCAGATTCTCATCAACTCTTCAAGGGAAGTGATAAAAGGAAGAATAAATAAGGAAGTTAGACACCTATAATTTATGAGGAGGTTTTGCTCCAATGGAGGACAAAGTTTTTTTTTTTTTTTTTTTTTTTTGGGTCAGAGGCCAAGTTCTTTCTAGAGAGTGAAAGGGGCCGATGTGAGAGTGAGGGTTGGTGGGGTCAGGCATGAATTTATTTTCTGTATTTGAATTGGGGCAGCATATTTGAGCAGTGTTTAAATATATATTTATTTTTTTCTTAAATTCAGGCCATGGGCAGTGTTTGCCGTTAGAGCTCATCTAATGGCAAGTGCCCGGGGACCTTGCTGACCATGTCAACGGGACTGCAAGGGAATAGAGGTGTCAAACAGGACGGGCCGGCCCAGCACAGCACAAGTTCAGTCTGTTTAAATGAGGCACAGCACGGCACGAGCATGAATATTAATGGGCCGTGATGGGCACGGCATGAAAGCTTGGGCCGGGCCAGGATCAAAAAATGAGGTCCAATAGACCGGGCCGGCCCATGGCCCGACATGGGCCGGGCTTGGCCCGAGCACACTTCAAGCACGGCACGAGCCCAAGCACGGCCCACTTAACATTTTTTTTTCTTTCTCAAAAGTCAAAATGCAATAATTTGACATCTAATGTCATTGGTTATATATATTTTTTTTAATCATAAATATATATTTGATGTCTTTCATTTTAGGGAAATTACTTGGATCCTTAATTAATTAAACATATCAACTACAAATTAATCAAACAACATTGGACTTGATATCTAATCAGTACATATGACGTATACGCTTCTCTTATAATCAAAGCAAGACATTTTTTCACATATAAAATAATAAGTTGTTTAAAGATGAAAATTTGAAGTGAACTTTGTGGAGTTGGACACTTTTTGCCCTTCGCTATTTCATATTGTTTGGATGTTTGATTAATTAATGTTTTCAAGTAGTTCATCATTTCTTGCCTCTAATTATATTTTTAATGTTTATAATTTGAATTATTTAGTGGAAAAAAAATCAAGTGAAAAAAAAATTCAAATTAAATGAATTGGTTCTTGGGCCCAAGTATGGCACAAGCACGAGCATGGGCACGGCACAAGCCCGGCCCGGCCCGTTTAAAGGACATGGGCTTTGGGCCGGGCCGAGATCAATGATTTTACTAAATGGGCCGGCATGGCACGGCCTGATAAATTAAATGGGCTGGCTCGCCCCGACACGAAAACGTTAAAAGCACGAGTTTAAATGGGATGGGCCGGCCCGGCATGGCCCGTTTGACACCTCTACAAGGGAACATACTAAAATTGTAATAATTTCTTTTTTTTTATGAAACTCTAATATGTAGATAAGAAAAATACTTCAAAGCAAAAGAGGAGAATATAAAAGAACACACAAAGACTTTTCTTTTCTTTTTTTGGTTAGAGAAAACACACAAAGACATTATTGAAAGGAGATATTCATGACATTTTAGACGATGCAACACAAATGACAGAAGTCTTTAAAATTTTATAGAAGTATGGATTAAATACACCCCTAAGCTCACATACGTACAATGCAAGAAACACGTGTACTTCTTAACAAATGAGTATTGAATTTCCAAATAAATATGAACATTGTGCCACTTAAAATTCTCAATATCGTACGGTTATGAAAATGTCATCAATCATATCTAAAGGTTTATTTCAACCAAATTATGTGTCATGAAGCATGTTGTTGACAGAGGAATAAAAACATAGCATTTGGCTTTATTTCCTTAAATAGGTGAGCTTACTATGAATTGAGAGTCTGGGTGTAACACAAGTTTGTATGCGCATGCAGAAGCACAAGATATTAGGGAAATGAATAAAATACATGTATATACACTGCCCAAAACATTGCAACCATTAAGCTACTTTATATGATCCAAACCCTAAAAAATGCAGGCAATTAAGGCATTCGGTAACCTATTCAAATAGTGAACTCACGAATTTTGATTTTTCTTAAAAACAAAGAGTTCTTAAATTTATTTTTAAGATTCAAAAACTTATTTGGTACACAACTTGAAAATTGTTTTCAAATCTTAAAAATTTGAGAACTTGTGGGTTGTTAGAAAAAAAAACTAAAAAATAGATATTTTTTGTTTTTAATGATTGAGGTGTTTTTTAGTTGTTCTTGAGTTTGAGTTTTTAAAATAGGGCTACCAAACAGGTTTTTTTTATTTTGGACTAAAATTTTTTTTAACTTTAAAAAGTTGGATTCAAGTTGAATACCAAACAAGCCCTAAGAGACAACTCACGCCAAGATACAAAGAGAAAATGGAATATGGTGTACGTGCATAGAGTGGGCAACAATTGGCATTGGTAAGGGGTAGGGGAAGTCTAGAATAATTAGGTTTGGGGTCATTCTCAATATAGGCCCTGAGGTATTAATTTCATCAATTTACACCTCAATGTTTTTAAACTTGTCCAATTTTATCCTCCATTAAGGCCCCGTTTGGTTCATGGGAAAGGAGCCTTGGGAATGGGAATTCAATTGCTTTCCCATGTTTGGTAAGTCCAGGCATGAGAACTGATTACCTAGCACATGGGAAAGTAGGGGGGAAAATGAAGCCCTCCTCTTAACTTGGGTTTTGTTTTCCCTCCTCATGGGAAAATTTGGGAAAATGAGCTAACATTCAATGCACAATTTTCATTACTATTTTGTCCCTATGAACAATTTATAATTACAACGTATCATTAAATGCATTCCTTTTTTATTTGATTTAATATGGGTATAATTGGAAAATTATACAAATTTTGTTTTCCATTCCTACTCAAAACAAACATGGGAAAGGAAACAAAGTGAAATCTCTCAGTTACTTTCCCGACATTACTAAACATAGGAAATGAATCTTTCATTCTCATTCCTTAGGAAATGACATAGGAAGTGATTTTCCCTCAAATCCATTTTGTGAACCAAACGGGGCCTAAGTTGATCGTGAGGTCAATCGTTAATTGCTATCATGACCATTATAGGACCCAACAGTTTAAGGTTTTTTTTACTTAAAAAATAATTTAAAATTTTAGAAATTATACAACCTAACAAAAAAGACGTAAAATTGAATAAAATAAAATAAAAACAAACCTTACCCTGCTTCCACTTTCCCTAGCCGCACCAACCACTACCGACCTCTATACCCACCGCCACCCATTCCAGCCATAGCCGCAGCAACAACCGCCCCCAACTCCAACAACAGCCACAATCTTCTCATCAGTAGCAACATCAGCATCACCATCCCACCCTCCCTCCCTCCTAGCCCAGCTCGTTGCTCCTTTCCCTCTCCCTCGATTGTAACCACCCAGCAAGCCCAGCAACGAGAGTTAAAGAAGGAGAAGTCATTCAACAGTAATGATCCTAGGTATCAAAGCTGAAGTGTCTAAGAGTTTGATTGCTGAAGGGATCAAAGTTGAAAAGTTAAAGACTTTTATGAATTGGAGCATTTAAGACGAGAAGCTAAAGGGTTTGGTGATTTCTAGGACAAGACTGGCGCAGTTGAAATTGTGGGCGGTTCGAGCCACAACCTTGCTACGACTATGGGCTATAGCTATGCAGCTAAATGTTGAGAATCAAAGATTATCCTTTAGTTTAGGGATTGTATAATAGAATAAGAATGCTATATTATTTGATTTCCTGTATATATTCTTTCCTAGCTAGTTAGCTTACTTGTAGGAGAAACCTACGGAATGTATTATATAAACATACATCAATGATCAATGAGAATTATTCTGGTCAAATATCTTTTCATACCAATTTACATGGTATCAGAGCAGAGGAAACTCTAGCTCTTGGCTCTAGCCGCACTTGTCAAATAATCATCTTTAAACCCTAATTTTCATCCTTTCCTTGCCGCTGCCACCATGACCAAAGACCAAGAATCTGCTGCATCAGGAAGCAAAAACGATGCTTCCGATCCCTTTTTCATTCACCATTCCGATCATCCTGGCATGGTTCTTGTTTCCAAAATCCTTTATGGAAACAATTATGCGAAATGGTGTCGCTCTATGCGCATCTCCCTAAGCGCGAAGAACAAATTAGGGTTCGTGAATGGGACAATCAAGGCCCCTTCGGAGAAAACTAAGCCTGAGAGTTTTGAGGTTTGGCAACGTTGCAACGACATGGTTTTATCTTGGCTGCTCAATTCGATAGAACCAGATATTGCAGAAAGCGTGTTATACTCCTCCACCGCACAAGAGATTTGGGAGGACCTTAAAGAACGTTTTTCCCAACTTAACGCTCCTCGTATTTTCGAGATACAACGCACCATAGCTTCCTTCTCACAGGAGCAGATGTCTGTTGCTGTTTATTATACCAGGATGAAGAGTTTGTGGGATGAGCTGTCTTCTTACAGCGATGTCCCAGCTTGTTCTTGCGGTGCCATGAAGAAGCATGTCGAACAGGAGGAACGAAACTCGTTGATGCAGTTCCTTATGAGGCTTAATGAGTCCTACAGCGCCATTCGAGGCCAGATACTTCTTATGAAGCCTCTCCCTATGGTTCGCAAGGCTTATTCTTTGATCACCCAGGAAGAAAAGCAGCGTGACTTGGGTTCCAGCCAAGCAATCACCGAACCAGAAGCTATGGCGGTTCGAAACAATCTGCGTTCAAATTCTTCTGGGCGCCAACCTCTTCACTATAGCCATTGCGATCGGGATCATCATACAGTGGACAAGTGCTACAAGCTACATGGCTATCCCCCTGGACACAGGCTTCACAAATCTGGGAAAGGCAAAGGGAAAGTTAGCAGCGGTTCCGCCAATAATGTGGCCTCCAATGGTCCATCCTTGCAGGAGATTCATACAGCTATGCCATCTTTATCCGAGGATCAATGTAAGAAAATTCATGCCATGATGAGTGACAACACTAATCCATCTCACGTTGCACCACAAGCCAATACCGCCTTAACTTCTTCAGGTATTTCCGAATTGTTACCCAATTTACATTGGATAATTGATAGTGGAGCAACTCATCATATTACATCGAATTTGAAATTACTTACCAAGAGGATGAGTACTTCCTCTATGTTGCCAGTCACTATGCCTAGTGGAGAAACAGCACCAATTGCGTCTACTGGGACTCTTCCTTTGAACTCTTATTTTTATTTACAAGATGTGTTATGTGTGCCTACATTTAAAGTTAATCTGATGTCCGTAAGTCGACTTACGAAAGGATTACAGTGCTCAATAATTTTCTTTCCCACTTGGTGTATTTTACAAGATTTGAAGACGAGGACGACGATTGGTTTAGGTAAGGAGCGTGATGGACTCTACTACCTTGTGGCGTTGGCGTCTGATAGAACACCATCCACCACCCGACCTTCCTGTCACCTGGTTACAACTCTTGGAGATTTATGGCATCGCCGTTTAGGGCATCTTTCATCCTCTCGTTTACAATTTTTAGAAAAACATTTGAATTGTTCATTTTCTTTCCATAATGTTTGTGATGCTTGCCATTTTTCTAAACAAACTCGCCTTCCTTTTGGCATTAGTTCAATTTCAACTTCAAGACCTTTTCCCCTTATTCATTGTGATATTTAGGGACCTCACAAAGTTCCTTCCCTTTCTGGGGCTCGTTATTTTTTAACTATAGTGGATGATTATTCTCGTTTTACCTGGGTTTTCCTTATGCATCATAAGCATGAAACACAAGGGCTTCTAAAGTCTTTTTTTCCATGGTTCAGACCCAATTCACTGCTAGAATCCAAGCAATTAGGGTGGACAACGGGGGTGAATTTTCTTCATTGTGTGATTTTTTTAAAGAACAAGGCACCATTTATCAACATTCTTGCATCTACACACCCCAACAAAATGGTGTTGTCAAACGTAAGCATCGCCATATTCTTGAGACCGCACGTGCTTTGCGATTTCAAGCACACTTGCCTCTCCGTTTTTGGGGGGAATGCATTCTCACTGCCATTCATTTGATTAATCGATTTCCCACTTTAGTTCTTCCAAACAAACCCCTTTTGAACGTTTATATCACAAAACCCCATCATATTCACATTTACGAGTATTTGGTTGCCTTGCATATGTTACTATAGTTCACCCTACCAAAAAGTTCGATTCTCGAGCAGTTAAATCTATTTTTATTGGGTACCCAGTTGGCCAAAAGGCATATAAGCTCTATGATTTGTCCACTCAAAAAATATTCACTAGCTGAGATGTTTTATTTAAGGAAGATGTCTTTCCTTTTTCTACTCCAATTGTTGGTCCCACCACCATCCCAAACACTAGCCTTCCTTTACCCATTTCAGCCCATGACTCATCTCCACCACAAAATTCCAATCTAGCTCCTGAGCCCACAAAGCACACTTTGCCTATTAGTCCCATGCATCCCACTCCATCTACGCCTCCTTCTACAGATTTTTCTCTTCCAGCACCAGATCCTCCTGCAATCCAATCCTCTCTTCCACCTACTGCACCACCTTCTCCAGCACCACCTGTTCAACCCACTCACCAATCTGAACGTCACAAGGTTCCAAATGTGCGCCTCCAAGACTATGTTTGCTCTCAAGTCACGCTACCCAAAGCTGCCCAATCGGAGTCTTCGTCTTCACATCGCACCTCAGGTACTCGTTATCCCTTGAGCAACTTTATTTCTTATCACCGTTATACACCAACACATCTTGCTTTCATTACTCAACTCAGTCACAATGTGGAGCCACGTTCTTTCTCTGAGGCCAATTCTGATCCTAACTGGCAGCAAGCCATGAGCTCTGAACTTCAAGCTTTAGAGTCCAATCATACATGGACTCTTACTTCTATTCCTCCTGGTAAGCACCCTATTGGTTGTCGGTGGGTCTACAAGATCAAACATCATTATGATGGCTCTATTGAACGGTACAAAGCTCGGTTAGTCGCCAAGGGTTATACACAGACAGAAGGTGTTGATTTTCATGATACTTTTTCTCCTACAACCAAGATGATTACTGTCTGCAGCCTTCTTGCACTTGCCGCTGCTTCCTCTTGGCCCATTCATCAACTCAATGTCCATAATGCCTTCCTTCATGGGGATCTCCATGAAGAGATTTATATGACACCACCGCCTGGTCTTCAGCGACAGGGGGAGAATCTGGTATGTCACCTCCACATGTCTTTATATGGCCTCAAGCAAGCTTCTCGTCAGTGGTTTGCAAAATTTTCTGAAGCTATTCAAGCTGCTAGTTTTACTCAGTCCAAAGCAGATTATTCATTATTCACGTGCAAAAGAGGAAAGTCATTCACTGCTCTCTTGATTTATGTTGACGATATATTGATCACAGGAAATAACTTGGGTGCCATTAATTCTCTTAAACGTTTTCTTCATACTCGCTTCCGCATTACAGATCTCGGTGACCTTAAATTCTTTTTGGGTATTGAATTTTCGCGTTCAAAGAAAGGCATTAGCATCTCTCAGAGGAAATACACCATTGACATCCTTAAAGATAGTGGTTTTCTTGGGGTACGATTTGTCTTATTTCCCATGGAACAAAATTTGAAATTATCTGACACATATGAATTGCTTGAAGATCCAGCCAAGTACAGAAGGTTAGTGGGTCGTTTGATTTACTTGACCATCACGATACCTGACATTACATATGCAGTGCATGTGCTCAGTAGATTTATGCATGAGCCATGTAAACCTCATATGGAGGTGGCGTTGCACATCTTGAAGTACCTCAAAAACACTCTAGGACAAGGTTTATTTTTTCCAGCTCAAAATGACTTGAGATTGTGAGCTTATTGTGATTCTGACTGGGGAGGTTGTCCAACTACCAGAAGATCTACCACTGGATATTGTGTTTTTCTTGGAAACTCCTTGATTTCTTGGAGATCAAAGAGACAGAAAACTGTTTCACTTTCTTCAGCAGAAGCAGAATACAGAGCTATGACTGGTGCTTGTTGTGAATTGACTTGGTTGCGTAGTTTGTTACGAGATCTTCAGTTGCCACATCGGAAGGCAGCAATACTTCATTGCGACAACCAAGCTGCATTACATATAGCAGCAAATCCTGTTTTCCATGAGCGAACACGACACATTGAAATGGATTGTCATTTTATCAGAGACAAAATCCAAGATGGTTCTGTAACTACAAAGCATGTTGCTTCTTCCCAACAAATAGCAGACATCTTCACCAAAGCATTGGGCAAAGATGATTTCGCTCGTATGTCACGCAAGTTGGGAGTTCTTGACATCCACTCTCTAACTTGAGGGGGAGTGTTGAGAATCAAAGATTATCCTTTAGTTTAGGGATTGTATAATAGAATAAGAATGTTATATTATTTGATTTCCTGTATATATTCTTTCCTAGCTTGTTAGCTTACTTGTAGGAGAAACCTACGGAATGTATTATATAAACATACATCAATGATCAATGAGAATTATTCTGGTCAAATATCTTTTCATACCAATTTTACAAGGCATTGGGCGAGACCTTGCTGCCATGGATATCTAAAAGCTCTTTTCCACCTCAAAGTATGGTAGCCCTCTTGTCGTACCCAGCCACTCCCACAATTGCCACTTTTCCCTGTCTTTTCTTTCCTTCATGCCTCTGCCAATGTTATGTTGTTATGTTGAATTTTTTATGGCTTTCCTCTCTGCCATTGTTTGCTTAATCAGAAAAGTTGCACTGCTTTTCCTTCTTGGGTATCTCTATTTTTCTTTGAAAATCCCTTTGAAATTTGATTCCATGATTGACTTCATGCAATGACCCTTTCTGGTGTTTTCTAAATCAAATAAGTTATGCTTTAAGAATTTTCTCCCTTGAATAAAATTTGTGTGACACAGAGAGAGAGAGAAACAGAGATAGAGAGAGTCTAGACAGAGACAGAGTGAGTGTATAACTAACTTTAAAAGTTATTATTGCCGCCTTGTGAGCAATATGATTGAAGCTTGATCTATGGATTTTGACGCGAGGTGAGAGCCATTAGGTTAGATCCATGGATATGACGAAATATGAGAAGTTATGAGAAATGGTTATGGGCTTTTGTTTCGTTGTGGACGGATTTTATTTTATTATTGTTGGAGAAAATATCTACGCCCCAATAACACATCGTCACATCGATCACAAGACGCGAGGGACCAAATTACTGCTGGCTAGGGGCGGGAGAAAGTAACGCATCTTGTCATGCGTTAATTATGAGCACTAAGCATAATGCTTGTAGCTGGCAGCAATAGCTCCTCTGCGAGGGCACTAAGAAATATTGGCTACACCTAAGTCCACATAACAGAAGAAGGCCAACAAGGCGTCTAACCAAAGACTCAGAGGAGTCAATCGACAGTGCCTAAGTGCCTTGCAAGCCTTTGGCAACTGTTGAATGGGCGCTCTAAGGGATAAGCCTAGCAATACTCTTCCTTAAGGAGCACATCTCCGATAAATTAGCCCAAATTCTCGAAATCTCTTTATTTATTACAGGAGCAATAAAAAGGAGATTAAGCTCATCCATTTAGGAGTTAAGGGGTCTTAGTACCCCAATTATCGTTCAACACTTAACTACTCAAGGCGGTAAAACATTCATGACAGAGTTCTATATAAACCAACCTCCAATTCTTGGAGAAGGTAACTGTGGTAGCAAATCTCCTCCAGGGTTAATTAAATGAAGAACTTCACTCAACTTTAATCACTCCTCAAAACTACATGCAAATAAGTAATAATCAATCGGATAAACACCGGTGTAGTGTTGGCCATGGGCCCTCTAATGCCTAAGTCAAAAATTATCTCAGGGAGATTTGTTTTTTCATGAAAGTTGCAAGAGGATTTTCTCAGAGAGAGAGAGAGAATCAAAATTGATCTTGAGACCAATCATTGATTTTGGAATTGATTAACTTTCATGCTCCATTAATTAGCTAATTAAATGAGGATTTAATCAACATAATTAATGTGACCTAGGGCAGACTTGACTTTTACATTAAATTCCACATGGGGCCACCACAATGGTTATGAAATTATTTGCTCCTAAAGTAATTGTTTCTTGAGCTAAGAAGCCTTATTTTTCTCTATGTAGTCAACTAACTTAGGCATTGAAGGCTTTTTGCTCACATTGCATCACTGTATTCAAAGACTTTCATTGTCTCTTCATAGTTTTAGGCTACCAAAGTGTTATCATGAGTGCTTATATTAATTATTAGCAATTTTTTAAGAGAGCTGATTTCCCCATTCCCCTTTTCTCCACTTACACTCCCTTTTGCTTTTTATACTTTTTAATCAATTTTGTTCTTTCTCTTTCCTATATCCTTACCCTACATTAATTTTTTTTTTACTTCATTTTTATATTATTTCTTTTTCTTTATACTTAATTTTTCAACTGACACTCCATTTTCAGTATTAAAGGGGAAAAAAACTTAATTTCTTACTCGATTAAAAGGAAAAAAATACTGAAAATGGAGTGCAAGTTGGAAAATTAAGTATAAAGAAAACAAAAACTAATATAAAAGTGAAGTAAAAAGAAATTTATGTAGGATAAGGGTAGAATAGGAAAGAGAAAGAACAAAATTGATTAAAAAGTATTAAAAAGCAAAAGCGAGTGTAAGTGGAGAAATGGAGAGTGAGGAAATCATATCCCTTTTTTAATATGCTATTATTAATTGTTCGCAATTTTTTAATATGTTAACATTCGTTATTACAAATTTTTGGATATGTATATATTAGTGTTATTATTAATTTTTTAAACCAAAATAGTAGGTGTGTGTATCAGTTCGAAATTAATATAATTTAATCAATCCGCATCCGAAATATAGATTTGATTATGATTTTTTCTATCCAATTCAATCAGCGAGAGGTTTATATCCAATCCAGTTTAATCTAATGGGTATTCAATTGGATGATCGATTCTGATAATGAAACAAGACAATAATGAAATATGAAACATTTATTGTCATGTTTAATATAATCAAACATTTTAAGAGATGTTTAACAAAAAAAAACATTTTAATAGATGTAAATGTAGTATAAATGAAACTCAAAGGCACATTTTTCTTTTGAACCTGAATATTAGGGGAAAAGCAGAATATTTGATCTTATCCAAATTTTTCTTTTGCTAGGCATAAGGGGTATGATGACTTGACGTCATCCTCACCTTCCTCCGACTTATCACCGACAGTCTGCTCAAGGTTCCAAACTCAATGGTGGCAACTAAACATGAGTGTTGCGCTTGTTGAGGGACTTAACCCAACACCTTACCGCACGAGCTGACGACAGCCATGCATCACCTGTGTCCGTGTTCCCGAAGGCACCCCTATCTTTCAAGAGGATTCGCTGCATGTCAAGCCCTCATACGGCTTCTCGTTCAATTCTTTTGAAGTCATTGGATCCTTTTCCTTGTTCGAGAATCTCTTCCCTTATTCCACTCCGTTCCGAAAGGTCATGTAGGAACAATGTTCAAGTCTACCGGTCTGTTAGGATGCCTCAGCTGCATACATCACTACACTTTCACTTGACACCTATCGTAACGATAAACGGCTTGTCTCGCCATGACCTTCTCTTGAATTCTCAAAACTTCTGTCGTTTTACCCCCACAGGGGCATAAAACACATCGTTGTCTTGGCTGTGCTACCGGAGGCTCTAGGGAAGTTGGAATAGGAGAGCACTCATCTTGGGGTCGGCTTACTACTTAGATGCTTTTAGCAATTATCCACTCCGCACTTGGCTACCCAGCGTTTACCGTGGGCACGATAATTGGTACACCAAAGGTGCGTCATTCCCGGTCCTCTCGTACTAGGGAAAGGTCCTCTCAATGCTCTAACGCCCACACCAGATATGGACCGAACTGTCTCATGACGTTCTGAACCCAGCTCACGTATGGCTTTAATGGGCGAATAGCCAAACCCTAGGTACATACTACAGTCCCAGGTGGCGAAGAGCCGACATCGAGGTGCCAAACCTTATCCAATGCTGAATCGATGGCCTATGTATAAAGTAAGAAGAATTCTTTGGATTAAAAACAAAAAAGAAACAACCTTGTTGACAACTATTTGTTTGGTCAGAAGAGTCGTGGATTCTTTTTCATTCCGGCAGCTACAGATGGGCCTGGGCTACTGTAAAGAGTAAATTGGTAGACTTGTACCTGTGTCTAAGTTCAAGCATCATCCCCAAGAGTGCTTCGAAAGATTCATGGAGTCTTAGGAAACACATTGGCTTCCTTCACCAATAAAACCAACAGTTGCTTATATATAAATATTTATGCTTGGCTAGAGAAGCTTGTGGCATAGGAGCTGAGCATTCATGAGTTTAGCATTAGAGAGAAAAGGCTTGGATTCCCTAAGAGAAACAAAGGCTCAAAGTAAGTGGGAGATGGATTTTTGAGAGGATTTGTTGAGGGAAGAGAGGAAAAAATCAAGGAAGAATAATGGGTGGCTTTAGCAAATTTCCAGCAACATGACGAAAGCTTAGTCAGGCTCCTGAGTGTTTTGTCAGAAAAGAAAAAGAGGAGCAATGGAAGAACATGGCTCGAAATTGAAGGGTTCCAGTAGTGAGAAAGGATGCTTGCTCTTTCTGGATGTGGTTATGGGAGAGAGAGAAGAAGAAGAAGAGGGAAGAATGTGTGGTTTTAGCAAATTTTCGGCAGTATGAAAGCTTCGTTAGGCTCTTGAATATTTTGCCGGAAGAAAAAAGAGGAATAAATGGAATAATAGAGCTCGAAATTGAAGGGTTCCAGTAATGAGAGGGGATGCTTGCTCTCTCTGGATGTGGTTATGGGAGAGAAAGGAAGAAGATGGAAGAATGGGTGATTTTTGCAAATTTCCAGTAGCTTGACGAAAGCTTCGTCAGACTCTCGAGTGTTTTGCCAGAAGAGAAAATGGGAAGAAATGGAAGAACATAGCTCAAAATTGAAGGGTTCCAGAAGTGAGATGGGATGCTTGCTCTCTCTGGATGTGGTTATAGAAGAGAGAGAGAGGAAGAAGATGGAAGAATATGTGGTTTTAGCAAATTTCCGACAACTTGACAAAAACTTCGTCAGGCTCTTGAGTGTTTTGTCATAAAAGAAAAGGGGAAGAAATGGAAGAACATAGCTCAAAATTGAAGGGTTCCAATAGTGAGAGGGGATGCTTGCTCTCTTTGGATGTCGTTGTGTTGATGGGTAGGAAATGCCTCCTTTTATAGGCGTTGGAAGCTCCTTCTTCCCAAGAAACCCTAATTGGTTTTTCCCAAATCTGCCAAGTCTCCCCCTCCATTCCTCTTCTCTTCCTTTGATTCATCCTCATTTTGTGAAATTCTTCCCAATCCAAACACACAAAGACAAGATTTTTAGAAGCTCTAGAGCCTTCCCACAGCTGTACCTGTGGCAATCTCCTATCTTTGGCTACAGTCTCTCCTTCTTTCCTCCCTTATTTCATGGTAAAAGCTAGTGGAAGAAAGAAATGGGTAACGGTGTTTGTCTGAAGGGTGTCTTGCTCCCAGCAATCTGCACACGCAATGATCCTTTGGTTCTTTAGGTTGTTTATCACAGTTTGTCTTTGCCCATGTGCTGGAGACTCCCAACAACCTGCATATGCAAATATCCTTTGGTTTTTTAGATGGTCTGTCTTAGGTTTGTTTTTTGCCATGTGCTGGAGACTTTCCTAAGATATTTTCTAGGTTGTTTGGGCCACTCCTAAGGTGATGGGCTAATTTAATAAGATGATGGGCCAAATATCTAAGGTTATGGGCTATATTTTCTCTATTTCATGTTTACCCACATATTTGGGCTCAAGAAATGGGCTCAAGTTTTGGGGCTCCCAAGCAGCCCAAAACTTCCACTTCTTAGCTCATCAATGGGTCTCGTGAATGCTCATAACCATTCATACCACAATCCACTCAGCAAGCCTCGGGTATTTGCTTGACTTGGGCCCACTTAAGCTTGTAGCGTGGCTATGTGCAAAATAAGGGTTTTTCGCTTGGCATTGCATGTCGATTGGCGTGCTCGTGCTCGAATTTTATCGTTTTGTAAAGGGCTATGATCAAGTCAAAACGACACTTGACGGCATAATTAGCATGGGTTCATAGAGCCAGTATATTTTATGGGCTTGTTACGACCTTTCTGCGTAGCGTGTTGCGTATTTGCTTGGCGTGACATGTGTGCAAGCGAATATGATGAACTCTTGCATACCTAAGTCAGGTTTCTTCCCAAGTTAGGTGTCACACTAGGCTAGAAATATATTTGGGCCCAGCCTTGGATTTTTTGGGCATCAACACTTTTATAATATATTAAACATAACTCCATCAAATTATTTCAATGTTCATAACTTTATCAATTAAAATTTCCTACACTAGAAAATAAGCATGAAACTAACTAAATTGCATTGGAATGCATTTGATTGGATCCTCACAAGAAAATCCATCATCCAAACTAATCATGTTAATTTTGGAAATTAGGGATCCACTCCAATCCATCAAATCATCAAAACCGATTAAAATTAGATAAGATTGGATTAGATTAGTCAGTTTAGGCTAATCAAATTGGATTTCTTGAACATGTTGTACCAACATGCCCAAATAAGAGTCCACTACCTGTCTAAATCATGCACCAATATTGTCTAAATCTTAACCACTTAGGAGAGAGAATACCCAGTGGACCTCTAAGTGTGGAATTTTATCACAAAAGGCCTACGTGCAATTAGGAGTGGACCACCTATATTTGAACTATAGATTATTGTTGTAATCTCTTATGTGAGACTTACACATCATGGCTTGTATCAAGCCACCTATACCAACAATCTCCACCTTGGTGAGATCCAAGCCAAGTTAACCCGCCCGTTCATAACACCAGCACTTTTCAAGAGTCAGGCCCCGCAACTCCACCTTTTCCGACAAAGATTTTCTTAAGCCTCAATAGGAGCCCTTGCTCCAGCTATGCCTAGGATATTCTTGAGCCTTGCTAGGAGCCCTTACTCCACCTAATTTGCTGTGAGTAGGATTTCCTTGAGCCTTTGCCTTTGCTCCACTAGCCCTTGCTCTACTAGCCCGCTCCACTTTTCTCCGTCGGTCCAAGATTTTTACTTGAGTTTCCTCTTTGAACATGTCAATGGCTCCACCTTTAAACCAGAGCATCTTAGCCGAATCGGGCTCTAATACCAATTGTTATACCAAAAGGCCCAATAGGAGTCCCACACCTGTCCAAACCATGCACCGATATTGTCCCTACCTTAACCACCTAGGACAGGAAAGGCCTAATAAACCTCTAGGTGTGGACAAAAGGCCTCTTTCCATTACTTAAATAATATATTTTTTTAATTTAGTTTTCGTTTTATAAAACAAAAAAATCTAATTTTGATGATATTTCACTTTTATTTTTAATTACTTTACTAATGTTTAGTCTAAACTGATAATTTTAATCCTTAAATTAATAGGAAAATTAACTATATATAACGGTGGCACTAGTTTGGCAAGAAATAATAAATTAGTTTGAGGACCAAAATAAAAATCGGGAATAAGTTTAGAGACTATTTCAATTTAAACCCTTGAACGATAATATTAGTTATTATTTGCAAGTTTTGATTTGTTTACCCTTGTGTGGTCGTATTTATATTGTTTTGCACTTGTTTGTGCGAGACCCTTAATTTCTGATTTCTTAACACCCTCTCGAGTGTTAAAGTCATAGCAAACTATGTTTGTGCGCACTACTAGAAAACCATAGTATAAACGACAATTTTATGTTATGTGGCCAATTCGTGACCAATACTCTTTAATCACGTGTAATCTACAACTTATAAGTCCGTTTTCTAGTAGTGTGCGTTTTGGCAAGTTTGTTTGAGGCGTTTTGAACAGAAAGAGAACTGCACAATATTCATATCATGACGGAAATTACTCGGCATAACTTTATACAAAAATATTCATATCATCGCTCACACCTGTCGCCAACAAAGGAATAAAAAAATTGGATTATTCTCAGACTGTATCGAAGCATCGGTATGTTTCTTATGCCTCCATGGCCACATGTCTCCCTTCAGTACTGTAAACCTCTCATCTCGAAGCAACCCAAAACTCTTTGACACCCTCCATGCATTTAATTTGTGACACATCATCACTACCAAAATCCTGATACTTCTTCAATGAAGAAATATTGTTGTAAAATTAAAATAAAAATCTCTATGCATTGAAGTTGTGCCACCTCACTATAACTACAAAAATCTTGATACTTCTAACTCAAGTTTTCTTTTGGGAGATCATCTAAGTCAAGGTGCGAGGACATTCTTTTTATTATCTGAATATTCCCATTAAATGAATTAAAAAGTTTTTTATATATAGAGAAAAGCAATAATTGTATTAATAAATTAGACACAAAAACCATTAGTCACAAAGACAAAAACAAATACCCACAAAGGGGTAACATAAATGTGAAAGCATGTAGTAACCACAAAGGATTAGGCCACATAAGGCCAGAAAAACTTTAGCACAAAAGCTGCAAGCGAGACATGAATCGCATCGTTCAAATCTACCAATACAACTACAACTTTTAAACTCTCATCAGTACTGAAAAAACAAGTTGAGGCTAAAACAATCAAACCAAACGAGAAAAAAACAAACACACAACAACAAAAAGCCAACATAGCCACTATTATCGCTTATGTTTCTGCCACCACAATCGTAGTTGCCAATTTGAAGACTAAGAACACCACCAGCCAAGAGCCAAAAACATATCTAACCACCAAAATCACATATCCAAGCACACATATGGGTAATCTAAAAAGAAACAAAACAATATGTAATTCACTTAACAACTTTATAAAATGCATCAAAACTTCACTTAAATATTACTCGTCTTACATTTTTCAATGCAAAAATATCAATTAACTTTACATAATCAAGTTTTTACCATATCTTTTTCAATAGCTAAGTCATTCAATCTTTCCTATGACATAATTCACCGAAGGTAAGATTTGATCAACTTCAACTTTGAAAAGCTTCTCTCTACAGAGGCAACTGTGACCGGTATAGTTAACAAAATTTTGTAAGCAATCCATGCATTTGGGAAACAACTATAGCAACTCGCTCATCCCTGTATTTTATTTCTTTAGGCTAACTTTTCTTTTCTGCTGCCATTCAACTAGGTTAATTGACTTAAGCTATAAGTTTAAATAATAATTGTTGAGTTTCCACTTTTTAGTTTTAGAGTGAATAATTGGGCTTTTTTTTAAAACAATACTTGGGCCTAACATAATATCCTAATATTAATATAGTACAATTTTTTTAAAAAGTAAATAAACTCAATAATAGGGAAATATTATTTTTCTAAAATCTGTTTTGTGGTCTTCTTGGTAGTTTCCTCATTGTTCTTGTGTTAACCTTTTTGTTGCATTTAATTTGTATTTATTTTATACTAAAGTTATTGAAAATTAGTTTATAGGGCTATGAACTAGCGTAGTTTTAGTTTATTTCTAGAAATATATATAAATTGTAAGTCGAAACTTCTTTTGTATCGTATGTGTCTTTTTCATAAAACTTTTTTCCTCTTGACTCTGGAAACTTGAGTACGTATGCATGAACTGTCACGAAGACTCCACGCGTTTCATCCAACTTCTATATCATGCACTATGCACTATGCACTATGTGTGTGTGTATATATGTATATAGCTAGCAATAAATAACCTACCTATCAACCTATAATCGAGCAACCTCAAGCAAAGACTCAAAGAAAAAAAATGGTTTACTCTGAGGGAAGAACCCTTACTATTCTTATGCTTCCATGGCTCGCTCACGGCCACATATCTCCCTTCCTAGAGCTTGCCAAGAAGCTTACCTCTAAGAGAAATTTTCACATCTTTATTTGTTCCACACCTGTAAATCTCACCTCCATCAAGCCAAAACTCTGTCCAAAATACTCTCATTGCATTGAATTTGTGGAACTTCATCTTCCGCATGATGATTTGCCTGAACTCCCACCTCAGTACCACACCACCAATGGCCTCCCTCCCCATCTCATGTCCACTCTCAAAAGGGCCTTCGACATGTCCAGCAATAACTTCTCCACCATCCTCACAGCCCTAAAGCCAGATTTGCTCATATATGATTTTCTTCAACCATGGGCACCCTCTCTAGCTTCGTTGCAAAATATTCCATCCGTCGAGTTCATCACCACCAGTGCTGCCTTGACCTCATTTAGTGTTCACCATCTCAGGAACCCTAGTGACAAGTTTCCTTTTCCTTCGATCTATCTTCGGGATTATGAAGCTAAAAAATTCAACAATCTCTTAGAATCTTCATCAAATGGCATCAAGAATGGAGACCGCGTACTGCAATGCAGTGATCTATCTTCTGGCATCATTTTGGTGAAGACATCTAGAGAGATTGAAGCAAAATATGTTGATTATCTCTCTGGTTTAATGGGGAAGAAGATCGTGCCAGTTGGTCCGCTTGTTCAAGAGCCAATGGATCTAAAAGTTGATGAGGAAACACGGATCATGAAATGGCTGAACAAAAGGGAAAGGTCTTCGGTTGTGTATGTTTGCTTTGGGAGTGAGTACTTTTTGTCCAGGGAGCAAATAGAAGAGCTAGCTTATGGGTTAGAGCTTAGCAAAGTTAGCTTTATTTGGGTTATAAGATTTCCAAAGGAAGAGAAAGGTAACAGGGTTGAAGAGGTGTTACCAGAAGGGTTTTTAGAGAGGGTGGGAGAGAAGGGAGCGATAGTGGAGGGTTGGGCCCCGCAGGCGAAAATATTGAAGCATTCTAGTATCGGTGGGTTTGTGAGTCACTGTGGATGGAGCTCAGTGTTGGAGAGCATCAAGTTTGGTGTTCCAATTATAGCCATGCCTATGCATCTTGACCAGCCAATTAACTCTAGACTAGTAGAGGAAGTGGGTGTTGGAGTGGAGGTTAAGAGAACAGCAGAAGGCAGTTTAGAAAGAAAAGAGGTAGCAAAGGTGATCAGAGATGTGGTGGCGCAGAAAATTGGAGAGGGAGTGAGAAAAAAGGCATTGGAAATAAGAGACAACATGAAAAAGAAAGAGGATGAAGAGATTAATGGGGTGGTGGAGGAATTGATGCAACTTTGTACCTAAATGTGTAGGATGATTATTGAGAGTTGCTCACGTCGGTGTATAAAAATCAATGTTGGATTTCACTACTTTCAAGTGTTGTTCGTTTTCTTTGTATGTAGTTTGAAACATGTTGACCATTCAAAACTCTTTCTAGTGATTTTGAATGCTCACATCAGCTTATGTATGTATGTTTGAATTCTCGCGTCAGGATTGTATATGTATGTAGACATGGATGTATTTGAGAATAAATTTTTGAATATTAAGTATCTCTTAATTATCCTAGGAAGAAATTAAGTTAACTAGTAGTTCTTAGTATTTGTAAGTTATTAGAAGTGTGGTTGTATCTTATAATTAGAAGGACGGGATAGCCTAGCACGATTAGATAGAGTATAATCCAATCGAAACAACCATATATAGTCTAATTCAGGTTTTTTTAAGGCCACCAAATATTTTAACTAGGATTATGCTAAGTCGGGGATTGAGTGAATGATGTGAATTGTCCATATGTAAAATCATAATTATTGATATGGGTCTTTTCCAGACCTATAATTCTGCCCACCAAAACAAGCTGTAGCTGAACAAACCTTAATATGTTTGAGATAATTGCAGCACAAATGCTGAGCGACTACACAATTCAAATCATAGTCTATTAATAAATATCTCATTAGGTAAAAACTTAAGAGTGCTGCTAAACGAAACTTAAAATTAATTTAGTACACCTTATTATCATAGTATTTATTGAATTACTAATTTACCATAATATAAAATTACCAAAAAGAATATATGGAATTGTGAAATCAATATAATTTTAATAAGTACACCATACTCATCATAGTCAACCCTGATCAAACTTAATTTATGGAGACAACCCTGATCAATATAATTTTAGTAAGCACACCCTATTCATATCTTGTTGCATTTTTATTTTTTTTATAAAAAAATTTGTTGCATTTGATTCCAAGCAATTGCGAATCCTTGCATGTTAGATATGTTCTTGGCTTACACATGTGCTATTTAAAACTGAGTCAAAATTTCCATGTCGTCCCAATTGCAAATCACGCCACGAAACTGGCCCAAATTTGCATATTTATTTATTGGGCTCAAAGTATTAACTTATGAATATTTTACCTATGAGGTAAAAATAAATAGGAGTTAAATTATACCGATTCACATGGGAAACCTTGCATAATGAAAAGAGAAAAACAAAAAAACAAAAGGGAAATGAGAACTAGTGATGCAACCCATAAAGTGGATTTCGAAAATAGAAGCAGATTTCAAAAGCTATTTGAAAACCTCATATCCATAAGTTATGAACACTCTCAGACAAACCAAAGAGAAATGGTGCAAAGGAAAGAGATGAGAGATTAAAACTTTGATATGCAAAGCTATTTTCAGATTTTCTAAAAAGAAAGTAGCTTTCAAAATAAAACTTAGAAAACCCATTTCTATGCCATAAACACTCTCAGATAAATCAAATAGAAAATCGAGTTTTCCAAAATGGTGAAAATGAAAGAGATGAGAGATGAAAACTTTGCATCCCTAACAAAAGTTTGAGAAATGAAACTTCAATGAAAGCCCAAAAGGAATTCAAGAACCCATGAACTCTTCGCCCAAAAAGCAAAACCTAATTTATGCACAATCTCTCACTAAAACTCTCTCTCTCTCTAAAAACCCATGTGAAAAATGTAAAATGAGAGAGTTGGTGAATCCAAACTAGCCCCAGCCGTTTTGGCATGTCAAAAGGACACTTGGCAGCCAATGATTAGACTTATAATACTTGGCCTATATGACTAGTCATCTAGACAAAGTATTGTGATGCAAATGCTGATTTTCCTAATAATGCCCATTATGAATGAATGCACAAATTATCTTGGTTTTGTAGCTTCATAAGCTCTTCAATGTACTTCAACTTTCTATCAAATACCCAAGTCCTAATTTCTGAAGTTGAGCTAAGAGAAATTACATACATGACAACTAATGATCCATGCATGCACCGGTGGATCCAAAAAAATTTTAGCACAAGTGCAATTTTGAAAGACTAAAAGCTTTACTTAGAATTAAAAACAAATTGACAACCAAATATCCTTATAATTTAATCAATACCAAAGTCATTCATAAGTTATAGAAAAAAAAATAAGTTTAAAAATAAAATAAAAACAAATAAAAAAAAGGCTTCTTAAAAGCCCTAGACCTTAAAGCCATTTTTAAAAGCCTTTTACAGTCCAACTGTTCACCTCTCCTCCCCCCCCTCTTCCTTTTTTTTAAAAAAACAATGTCATTTTGGCCAAGATGGTTTTTCCTTTTTTTTTCTAATATTTTTTTTTAGTGCTCTAGGTGTTGGATGAGGGGCAATGAACACTATAATGCATGCGATGCATGCATAAAAATGTTACCTTCACTAAGCTTGATTGCATTGGGCAATTATGAAGTTGATCTCAGCCACAGTAGTCAACTTTGCACTAACCTGAACTAGCCTAAATTCTTTGAGCTTGATCATACATGTGAGGTTACATGTTTGTTAAGGAAAGCTAAAAACATTAGCTAAACAAAACCAAACAACTTCCTAGGCCTCGCAAGGCTTGCAAGCCCAAACATGGGCAAAAAAACCATGTGGGCCTAAGATGAGTTCCACTTGGGCTTCACAGAGTAAGTCTAAATGGGAATAATCATTGAGTAGCACGCCTCTAAAATGGGTCAACATTGATCCCCAAGATCTCCCTAGTCAGCAGCAACAATCTAGGAGATGATGCCCACACATTTTGAGCAAATATCTCACACGTCCCAAGTTAAATGGCTAATTGACTGGACATGTGATATAACGGGCAATGACGCTCCAATGAATTTCATACACAGCCTTCCACAACAATAAATCAACCACCTATGAGTCATATAAAATTCGATCACAACCACAATAAGGTAACGTTCCAACGCAACCTAAGAAACCGTAATTCTTATCGTCTGGAACTAACTTAAGCATCAAAGACTCTTTGGCCAACACCACACCAGTGTGTCCAAAAGGCTCACAATCTTTCATTTTCTCTTAACTTTCACGGGTCAATTTTGTCGTCTTCAAGAGTAGACGAAATCATTCCCCACAAAACATTCTTATTTTTGCAAGTGACCCAATTGCCTTTGTAAGAGCATCTTTATGAGAGATGTTAAATGAAAAATATTAAATTTAAATTTGTTAAGTTGCAATTTGATATTGTGTAAATTTTTTATTCACCCCAAAATATCAAATACTATATTATTATTATATTTAAAAATAAATAAATAGGGATCGTAAAGCTTTAAAATATTTGAGATGTGAAATGGTCAAAGACGCTTATTTATCTGGCGTGGATTCAAAGTTGACAGCAAATTCTTCCATTGGTGACGAAAGTTTGCAAATTGGTCTACGTCAAAATTGGAGACAATTAGCTTTATTGATGTTTCCAGAGAAGGTAAGAATTTTCACTCTCTTTTTCTTTTCCTTGACTAAGGTTTGTTACTATGTGCATCATAGCCTGGGATCCAAAAATATGAAAGAAAGTTCTCTTCAGGCCTAGATTTGTTTGTGTAATCTCTTTGGTTTGGGCCTTCCCCTTATACTACCAAAAAATATATATATATATATATATATATGAAAGGCCGCGTTTTTCATTTGAATAAATTCCATGACACCTAAAATTTTCTAAGTATTCAGTCAACGTGCAAACTGGGTCCAAATTAAAGCTGTAAACAAGTTTCTTTGAAAGTCGCATGAGAAACACCAAGACGTGGGACTAAAGAAAGCATCCACCCAATGAGCAGCCTCAGGTTTGGCTCTTCTTCTATGGAAAGTTTTAGGGTCAATTTTCAAGTGATCCACTTTTTCAAGAGACACGAAGATATCCATTTTGACTAGCTTAACCAATTGGCTCATAAGACAGCCCTATTATGGCCACACGATCAACAAGTTGACCAGTTCTTCCCATTTATAAAACCCAGATGTGTGGCCATGATTTGACTTTGATCCAAATTCCAAACTAGTACATGGTCATTTGTGTTGTGTGCGTCTCCCAATCCAAATATATATTATCTTGACTAGTATAAGCAAGCTACGCGTACCTTAGTTGGCATGACAGAGTCATGGCATAGAAATCACCAAGTCAATATCTCAACACCTATATATATGTGCACGATATGGCCATTTCTAAAACCAAAAACACAAACGCTTCAAACACATTGAGATCAATTTGGAATTCTAAAAGCTCAGCAAATCTTTGTACAAGCAGCTCAATCTCATCCTTCTTTTCTTCTTCAATTCAGAATATCGGAAAATCGAGTATCATATCCATGGAGAGACCAGAAGGATATCCACAAGTAGATGATGTTTCTACATGCATCGAAGCACCAAGCACAAGCACAAGCACAAGCACAAGCACATCGTTTTTGGGCACCAAGAACGATATGTCACTTCTTGAAAGCGGTCTACTTAGAAGAAATTTTAGTGACGTAGGTGAGAATTACTACAGGTTCCAATCAAAAGTTGGTAAGTCAGTTGATCCAAGGTTGCTAGCGTTGGTAGAATTCTTTAGGGAGCTCTATTTTCGAAGGTTGGAACTATTCAAGAAAATCTTTCCGGGTGGTCATGATGATAAGTTTCTTGAGGTGCCAAAGAAATTGGGTTTGATATTAGCCAAAGTGAAACCAGATCAAACCAGAGCGGTTCGGACTATGCAACGGAGTTTAAGCATTGGTTCACCGCGAGATTTCAAAGGACACGAATCGGAAATGAGGCTTGAACGATTCAAGATCAGAACTATTGATGTAGATGATGGTGGTGTACAAGGTGGCCAGGGTAATGAAATTAAGTCCAACGGTTCTAAATAGGAGTCATTCTCGGTATACGGCAGTCCTTCTGCACGGGTCATTCACCTGTGGGAGGGCTGCCGTATGGCGGAGCTCTACTCAAGAATTTCTCATTGGGGGAAACAGAAAGGAAGAGGGTCAAGATGATGAATTGTTTATGAGCAAGTTGTGAGAATATTTCGACTTTTTGATAGGATATTCTTTGTGGATATAAACAAATAATGGTGCCTGACTCTGCAGAACTGCACCAAACAAGTATCTGACAAAAAAAAAGACAATGAAACAAGTATGAACCTAAACAGTTTCTTTGCATAGATTTAGCTTCAACAATTGGTTTCAGCTTTTTATTGTAATATGTGTTCAATAATTGAGTTTCACTCTATACCTTTCAATAATGCAAGGCATTAATTTGGATCCAATCCCAGCTTTTAACTCTATTCAGCATCATTCTCTTTTGGATCTCATTTTAACCCTATCATTCCCCCAATAAATTCAAAAGGAAAAAACAGAACGTGCAAATTAACATGAATTAGTCAACAGCAAGAAATTGAATTAGACTGCACAAAAGAAATCAACAAAATTTCTTAGTTAACCCAAAAAATAATAGGGAAAAGAATTCTGAAGCAATAATTTTCTATATATCTATCATGGAAAATTTTAGACATGCCACCTAAATTTACATCAATTCCAAATTATCACCTTAAAGAGACATACTAACCCTAACCACATCCCATTTTCCATAATAAAAAATTCGTGTGACCCCCTTTCCAAGGGTATTTTAGACTTCAAACCCAAATTCTGTTTTAAATTCCTTAGGCCCATCTAGTAACGTTTTCGGAAAATGTTTTTACATTACATTTTTAGAAAATGAAAACAAAAAACGAATTTGTATTTTCAAGATTTGAACATGCGTATTGTAGCTTAATTTAAAAACAATCAAAACGTGTTTGGTAGTACAATTTCAGAATAAGAGAAATAACAAATGTTGCATGTAATCAATATGTGAGATTCGCATATCTCTCTCTCTTCTCTGGTTCTTTTCTCAAACTCTCTCTAGTTCACTTTGAGATTCGCAGATCTCCCTCTCTCTCTTTTCTCTGGTTATTTTTTCAAACTCTCTTTGGTTCACTTTGAGATCCGCAGATCTCCCTTTGGTTCCTCCTCAGATTCGCCGATTTCGCTTTGATTCCACTAGTTGTTGGTTAATGGTGGTTTGATGGGTAGACTGGTTTGGTTGGATTTGACGATGGTGGTTCAATTAGGCCCTTAATTTTTCAAAATTCTCCAAACGTTTTTTGTTTTTTTCTTTATACAAACTATTTTTTGGAAGAGGAATCAAACTTAGGACCTCAGGTGCAAGGGTAAATACTCTTAACTACTTGAGCTACAAGCACCTTTGCAAACGTTTTTTGTTTTTGGAAAAAGGTTGAGGACATGCGGATAATGTGTTTCTTTTTCTAATAACATTCTCTTGCATTTATACACATTTTTTTAGAGGTATTTAGTTATATATCCATTCTTAGCACTAGTAAGATAGATAAACCCTACACCATTTAATTTCTATAAACAAACCCAAAAAAGAACAGCTGGACCTGTTGAATTTAATTTTGATTATTAAATTACTTTGATGCCCTGTTGAGTGTTTTGGGTTTTTAGGAGGTTTTGGGGTTGAACTTGTTTTAAGAAATTGATGGAAGTTTTGTAATTTATAGGAAGTTCGAAGCCTCTTTATTATGTTGTAAATGGACTTTGAGTGTGTTTCTAAAATCGATATCATGTAGAGTTTTTTTTATAATTTGAGCCATTATATTAGACATAATACTGAAACTCCTTTTTTTAACTACCTTTAAATTAACCAAATGCAAATGGAAATGACAGTTCCTAAACTTATATCTTGATCGGAAATTAATTGCATCCTCAATTTCTCTCTTGAGGGAAGAGAAGTACCTAACAGCCGAATTTGAGTACAGTGGTTGAATAGAAAATTAAGGATGGAGAGAAGGGACACTGTCGGCAGCTTCAAAATCTAAGAGCATTTGTTGGAGTAGGTGAAAAGAAAGAAAAGTTATAGCATCAAGTAAAAGAATAGGAATATAGTTGCGTTGTGTTGGAAAGAAATTTAACTACTGCTTTTGGAGCATTTTCCAATCAAATAAAAGTTAAATGTTGAATTGAAATTTCAAATTTTGGCTCAAAATCACTCTCAAAAGTTCAATTCAATCTTTACCTATGCCTCAGACTCTTCTTATCCAAAATCATCTCTCTGTTGATTTAAATCCCTAGAGTTTAAAGGGTAGTGCATGTCGCCAATCCGAACATATCCCTTCTGTCGATTTACATGCGACGATGAGGTGACACCAACGAGCATACACGGAGACAGAATTAAAGGAACCACAACCTCCAGCAATCTTTATCTATTTCTAGTTTTACAACTGATCTAACAAAACTGCCCAAGATCAGCCACCCTAAAATGGAAAGAAGAAAGAAATCACTTTAGCAATATATACAGCAAGCACAAGAACAAACACCCAACTCCCTAAAAGGGTATTTACTTCCACACTTTTTGGGCATATACCCGTTCTCATTCACAGCCTGATCAGACGTTCGCGTTTGAAGCTTGAATCCCACGGTACCATTGTATTTAGGGATTTGATGGGCTTTCTACGCGCTTGTTTGCCAAGTCCTTAGAAACCTGAATATTCTCAGTTAAGGGGGACGCATTCACCCTGGTATCTGCCGCATCACCCTCCGATGGTAAATTATCTTCTTGAATTGGGTCCATGCCACGGCTGTCATGGGTTCTTGATCCACGATTATTCAACATATAGCGATAAGAATGGGTATTGAAGGACTCTGTACCATAATGAGATCGAATAGCTGAACTGAACAAGGGTTGCATGCGCCGTTTTCTCTCAGGAAACTCGCGCAATGATATTCTACAAACAGGACATGTGGAATGCTGCTGAAGCCATATGTCTATACAGGTCACATGGAAGGAGTGCCCACAATAGGGGAGAATCCGCAATACATCATCACCATGGTATTCCACGAGGCAAACAGTGCATCTGCCACATAACAAATCACAATTTTATTAGCTCAAAATACAAGGATTAAGAGAAACATGTTCAATCATTTTTATGGAAATTGAAATTTTTGAGAACTGAGAGAGAATTATAGGTGAAAGTCACCACAATATTAACTCCCTCCTATGATTACTTCTTTCTTTTCTTTTCTTTTCTTTTTCCCCCAAAAGAGAGACTAAAGAGTAAGAGGGAAGGAAATTGCTGAAACATCTATTGAGGTACCAGAATAAAGGTTCTGTCTTTTCTTCATTTGAATGTAACTGAAAGTGCAAACTTGACTCATTAAGGACAGAAAACAGCAGGCTTGATTTGGTAAAGTGAAATAATTCTTACAGATCACAGGAAGATTGAAATGAATGGGATTAAGGAACCAAAATCTCTATAACATTGCTGGATACAAAAATAAGCATTCTGACCAACACAATAGAAAATCAAGAAAATAGGTGAACTGATTCGGGGCATAATGCAAAAATGCCAATATTCATGTAGTGTGTTGCACTAGAAGCAGTATTATTTGGTTGGTTCACATTGATAGGCATGAACAAAGATAACTAGCAGTGCAGAATAACACTGCATGATTGTAACCGGTGTTTAAACCACAGGCATACTTGCCATGTTTAGATAAGTATAAACTTCTAGCTAATGTGTTTCTTCTTTTTCCAGTTTAAACCCCTCATCTGGGAAGTAAACTGAATCAGTCTTTACGTAACCTTATATTGTCAACCTCATCACATCCTTCCCTATGTCACACACAGAGAGTCAAACTGATCCTACATTGTTCCAGATAAACTTTAAATGTCAAAAATCAATTACTCAATAATTTCCAATTCCAGATACTTATTAAAACCGATAACAGGGGGCCACCACAATTCCTAAATATGCCAACATTACACAAAAGCAAATCAAGGGTTGCAACAGAAGGGCTGCAGTATTTAAGAAATGATACAAAGAATACATTTTAATTCCTGAATCCACGGTGGCAAAGAATAAGTATAATGATCAACAACTTCTTAACATACTTTCTGGAACACTACATAAGTGCCCGCTGGCTTTCAAAAATATAATAGAAAGATCTATGATTATACATTGAATACAACCCAGGATGGATTAGAGGCTAGACAAGATTGACGCAGACATGTAGTAGGACCTCAACTAGTCTAAGCTTCCTTCTATATGTGTGTGTGTGTGTATTCACACAAACCATCCAATCTTCATGGCATATTAACCTCCCTCAAAGTATAAAGAAATCTTTATTAAGAAAACAATTAATCATCACAAAAATAGCATGTTTAAGATATTAAAGTTTTAAACCCACTTTTCACTTCCACAGTCCAAAACAAATCTCCATTTTTCCATGAGGAAAGAAGGGTATAAAGCTTAAATTCTTAGTTTTAAGCATCCTAGCTGGCAAATGAATTAACATCATCAATCAGCTTGAATCCAATATTTTCATGTGCAGACACTTCTCTAGTAAGTCCAACCTATGGAATTAGAACTAGAAGCAATCAAGACCCTGATACTTCTTTTTCACTGGGCAAAAGACCAAAGACCAGAGAAACTGAAAGGGCTTCGATCAAAAAGTTGCAGACAAAAGTATAGGAAGAAAAGATTAAGATTAAGAGGGTATTAATGACTTGTTTTAGATGAAATCAATAAATCACTATCATAAGACTTAATTCAGGTTTCCAACATGACACTATCCACCATTCCATTCCAAGGATTGCTAACTTTGTGGAGGATATTAGAAGTTTCCTTTCCTTTGAACTTGGTCAAAACAAAGTAAAACTACAAGGTGTGAAGTTTTTGGAAGATTTATATGGTGTATCATGTAACTAGACAGAAAACAAAAAAAAAACAAAAAACATATCCCAACAAAAGGTGTGCTTCCCAAAAACACACACTATCATTGCTCAGGCATACTTGTGGTGGTGCCTCAAATGGAAAGAGAAAACTAGTATCGTAAATTAAATAAAAGAAGTCAATACTATCTCTAAAGTAATTGGCTTTGCAACTCTCAACGGCTTAAAATCTGGAGTTGGTAGGTTTTTCAGTATCAAATAACGAGAAAATTTAGAATCAATGCTATGGTTAACAGAACAGACAAATCCCTGTCAGGACTATCAGGAATAACAGTAAAAGACAAACATCCTAAAACAGTCTCCATTAAATTTACTGATAAAGTTTCAAGGGAGAGCTAAGGAGCAATGCAATGAGTTGTGCTTTAACTTAAAACTACAACCGTTTAAATGCTTACATTCTTTTTATTCCTCTGTCTCAATTCTACGAGATATATCCCTTCAACATCCCCTTGATAAGCACTCCCCTTTTATATACTTGGAAACCACAAAAGTGAACACTGAATATAAACCTGGAACAAGTCTTCCAGGAATAAGAATGTTCTCTACCTTTAAACCTGTACTTTTCAAACCTCTGTCATAGGAATTTTCATTTTGAATGTGAACCTATCAATTATTTCATTTATGGCCTACACATACCACCCACTGGAGACTCCAACCCTTCACCTGGTCGCCCTATATTTAGAAAACTATGGTTGAGAATCTAAATCCAATTAACTTTAAAGTACTTCAACTCCATTTTCAATAACAATTCTATCCCAAAAATTGTGAAATAAAAATACACCCTGCAAGAGTGAATTATTTCCAAATTTGATTTACAGCAAGCCTGTCAGCGAGCGGTTGTAACAAAGAAAACTCATCATATACCTTGCAGTCATTTCAAATTACAAAAACTGAAAACATTAAGTGAGCAATGGAACAATAAAAGAAATAACATACTGAGCATCTTCTACGGCTGAAAAAAATGCATCACTGAACTTCTTTGTTGGGAAGTTGGCTACTACTACAGGTTCAACGCCATGTAACCCCCGTTCCAGCTGTACCATGACATAAGCCAACCATTTAAATTCATGGTGAATTATAAGTATTCCACAGAAGTTATGTGTGTTACTATAAAAAGAAACAAAAGTGGGCAAATGTAAACCTCAATTGCAAAATAAAAGCGTGTTTGCATATTTTATGTGGATTGACCAGAAGTAGTCAAGAGCTATACAAAAACCCAAAAAAAATAAAAAAAGTCTCAAATGGAACGAGACTTGCTATCAGTTGAAAAGGAAAATACTAAATTCAGCAACACACACCAAATAAAAAATAAAAAATTAGCATAAATCCAAAAGCCAATAACCTTGTTTAATGTAGAAAATGATAAAATTACATAATCTAAACAAATATTAAATAATAATTTAACAAGAAAATAATTTATTGAAAGAGTAGAGATCTAACTGACAGTGCAACCAACAACAGTCATGCCAAGCAAATTTACATTTCCAATGGAAAATGACAAATACCCAGATGCTATTTTATCTTAATAATGAGAAATACAAGGCAACTACTGATAATGAAAATTCCATGATTGAAATTAAAACTAAAAAAGAAAAAAAAACTTACAATACTGAGATCGGATCTGGAAGCTGTGGGGAAGGAGCGTCTTGAAACGTTGAGGTGAATCCGAGCACAGACAAGCCTGGTGCACACGAACACGATGAACATGGTGCTCACCGCGAACCCAATCACCGTCATCACCAGATTTATCCCTGACGATATCATAACTCTATTTGGGTTTTTTCCACTCAACGCAAAATAAAAATCCAAAAACAAAAATCAACACCACTCAAATCTCTTTCATATCCAATTTGGGCTTTTTCAGCAACACCTAGAATTCAAACCCAGCTCAAAAATACAAAAATACAAAAATGAAAATCAACGCCCCTCAGTCTCTCTCATATTCACTGCACTGAACACAGTAGAATTGTCCACTGGCCTAGTGAAAAATGTTATTGAACTCTGTTGGTATTATTTGAGGAAGACTAATTTGGCTGTGTGAGTGAAGAGAGGGGTGAAGAGGGGACTGTATTATTGTTGGAGGGAAGAGGAAAGGACCAGAGAAGAAGGAAGCCATGGAGGGATGGAGCAGAACCAGGGACTGAGGAAGCCCATGTAACTAGAGGCGCAGAGAGGAGTGAGATGGACAAGGAGGATTTGCTCAGATCCAAATCAAATCCAGGTTTTGGGAGTTGGGTTTAAGATTAGAGACTGAGTTAAGTCACTAATCAGTAATCACCCCACAAATGGAATCAAATTTTCTTCTTATTTTTTTCTTAATCAATCAATTTTAACTTTTTTTTTCTTTTCACAGATGTTAGTCTATAGACATGTCTACATGGCGACTTTCTACTATGTTCTTGGGGATTTCGTATCTCTTATCACATGGGTGGATGTATTTCATTGATAGAAGTTCTTTTTAAAAGTAATATGGAGTAGGGAAGAATTGAAACTTTGACTTTAGATTTGTAGCTCGAGTGATTAAGTGCATTTATCACAGCACTCGAGGTCTTAGTTTTGATATCACTTGTATAAATAACTGTTGTGGCTCAAAAAATCCAAGGTTTGATCCAAATATATTTTTGGTCCAATACAACACCTAATTAGGGAAGAAACTCAACTTGGATACCAAGCTACGCTACAAGCTTAAGTGGGCCTAAGCCACGTAAATTTCTGAGATTTGCTGAGCTGGTTGTAGTATGGATAGTTACGAGTATTCACGAGGCCCATTGATGGTCTAAGAAGTGGAAGTTCTAAGCTGCTTAGGAGCACCAAAACTCAAGCACATTTCTTGAGCTCATATATATGGATAAGCATGAGAGAGAAAAAGTGACACATCACCTTAGAAAAAGTGGCCCATCACATATGAGTAAAATACCCTTCAAACCAGCACCTTTACCCATTTCTTTCCTCTACCAACTCTTGCCAGAAAATATGGAAGGAAAGAAAAGGAGAGCGTTGCCAGGGATAGGAAGGTGCCACAGAGACCAGCTGCAAGAAGACTCTAAAGCTCCAAAAAAATCTTGTCCCAATGTGTTTGGATTAAGGAAATTTCATAAAAAAGGGTTGAATCAAGGGAAGAGAAGGGAAATAGAGGAGAAGACTTCGCAAATTTGGGGAAAACCAGCTAGGGTTTCTTGGGAAGAACGTGCTTCCAGCGCCTATAAAAGGGGGCATCTCCTACCCAGCAAAACAACACATCCAAGCGAGCAAGCATCCTCACTCACTGCTGGAACCTTTGATTTCAAGCCCTGTTCTCCCATCTTCTTCTTTTCTCTTCTGGCAAACCATCCAAGAGCTCGACGAAGCTTTCATCAACCGGCTGGAAGTTTACTCAAGCCACCCATCCTTCCATCCTCGTCTCTTCCTCTTTTCCCTCAACAAATCTTCCCAAATTTCCCTCTCTCCTTGCTTTGAACCTCTGTTTCTCATGAGAAATCCAAGCTTTCTCTCTCTTATGCTAAACTCATGAATGCTCAGCTCTCATGCCACAAGCTTCTCAAGCCAAGTCATAATATTGATATGTAAGCAGCTATTGGTTTTTTTGGTGAAAGAAACTAAAGTGCTTCAAATGGCTCCACGAACCTTTCGAAGCACTCTTGGGCCTGATTCTTGAACTCAGGCACAAGGGCAACTCTATCCATTTGCTCTTTACAGCAGCCCAAACCCACCTGTAACTGCTGGAACAAAAAAGCCCCTACAATAACATAGGGTGCTAATTTTCTCACTCCTCTTTTGTTCACTTAGGCTGCGTTTGTTATGCCTCACTGGACTGGACTATGCTAAATAGCACTTGCAACCTATGTTTGGTTAATGATGGGATTAAAACACGGTACTTGCTCATCCAATACAGTGAGGATGAAATGCAATTCGCAAAATAGAGAGCGTGCTATTCTAAACAAGCTAGTCCAACCAACACAGGCAAACCGTCACATCCTCCACTCTGTCCTTCTCTCCTTCTCTTCCTTTCTCTCTCTCCCTCTCAGCCAATCTCTCCAACAAGATGCTCCTAATGAGATTCATCGTGTTCTTTGATGAACTGGTGGATAGCATCAATGACCTCTACACCATCAGGAATTCTATTGAACATCTCCCTATGCATAGTGGCAAAGTCAGGATTTCACATTAGAGGAGACCATTCATAAAACTTGTCTTCTCTTCATAAATTAATTATCATGAATGTCATATTTTAAATTGGTTAAATACTAATTTCATCATCTATACTATTAAAGACTTAAAAATTAATCATTTCTATTCCAACAAGAAAATAAATGAAAAAAAAAAGAGTTCATAAAGCATAATATCCTAACTCATACATGAAAAAAATTAGGAAAAAAAAATTTCACAAAATTTTAAACAAAAGAGGAAGAGGAAATAGAAAAAAAAAGGTTAAAACTTTAGAAGTTTATATTGCAGATATCATAAACTGACCTAGAAGATTTAAGGGAGATGAGTAGAAGAGAGATCAAGAAATTTTATGGTTTATTTGTAGACAAAAGAACCTAATATATTAATTTATTTGAGGGTAAATATCCTAAAACTAATCTAATATATTATAATATTATATATGATATACAAATAAAATAGGTAAAAATGGAGTGGGGGCTGGGACCACACTAGTCCTATGCTAGCTCCGCCCTTACCTGTGTACATGGAGAAGCCTAAACACCAAAGCCAGAGCCCGCACCTTAGAGTCCATTACTCTTTCCCTTTCTGATTATTAGGTATTCAAGTCAGTAATATATATATATATATATTTCAAATTTTCAAATTTCAATTTAGGCCCAAAATTTCAAGTTTTCATATTTCAATATGGGCTTACAAGACTATAGTGATGATGAGGAAGTTGATGAAGGCTTTGAACAACGACAACGAGGCCACTGAGCAGGAGGCTCTTGATTTGTTGATCGGATTGGTCGGGACCGAGCCCAAGTTCGTCAAGCGGCAGAGAGAGAGTGGGTTGGGGAGACGCAGATCTGTAGGCGTTAAGTCCAGATCGGGGCGAGTCTATGTGGGTGGGTCGATGGTAGATTTCTGGGGGTTGGTTTAAGGTCGGGGATGGGAAAGAAAGTCAGGGAGAGAGAGAGAGAGAGAGAGAGAGAGGGGGGAAAGAATGAGAGAATGAGTTTTTTTTTCTTTTCATGCTTTAAATATTTTATATATAAAAATTTTACACATCAGCCCCAATTAAATATTCTAATTGAATTTAAATATTTTTTAGGTCAAAATTCCTAATTAAATTTAAATATTACAAGAATTATTTTTTAGTCTGACACATCATCAAATATATGTCTTCACTATTTTTACAATCTAGCTTCTTAGTCCAACATAACACCAAACGTAGGTTAGTACTTAATCCAACTTAAGCCAATCCGAGCTCATTCAAGACAGTCTCAAGATTTAGTCTAGTTCATGACAATCCGTTGTACCAAACGACCCCTTAGTGCATCCACAATGGACTTCCTAAACCACCTCCTTAGACAAATTTTAGGGAGAAATTTGAAAAATACATCTCCAACCATGCTCCATATCCAACTCCTAAAATAAAGAGACCTCTAGGAGCTCCTACATTTGAGGAGAGAGAAATGACTCATAATGGCTCTCTATAATTTAATGCTGCTTTGTTTTATGCATATTTTAAATTTTTAATTAATGCTAACTATGTTTTATATATTTTTTTTTATAGAAATTGACCAATTATATTGAATCAAAAAATAATTATAGTATTTATGACTCTCTAAAGTATGAAGTATGATTAGAGTTCAAATTTTATTTAGAGTTCAAATTTTATAGAGAACTCCTAAAATAGTTTTTTTTGTGTTTTTAGCTAAATTTTAACTAAAAAATAGGGAGCATGATTGTAGATGCTCTTACATTCCCTTATAGGAAATTGTATGTTATAGTAAAAAGTAGTTTTTTTTTTTAAAAAAATTTTAAAAAAGGGAGTGTAAGTGGACAAAAGGTAAGTGGAAAAATCAACACCTTATGAAAAATATAAAAACAAAACAAAACTAGAGAAATGTGATTGTAGTAGGGGGAGAGGAATGTGGGTGAAGGGGCAGTAACTACTTTCACTTAATTACTTAGCTGATTTATTTATTTATTTTTTGGTAGTTTAGAAAATTAGTCTTTTAATATTCTACTCTCGTTATATTAGATTGTGGTGTTCTAATATATGTATTAAGCATGGGTTTATATATATTTTCTCCTCTGCAAACGTCCGCACGTTATTGCTGTGCAGACGTCATGTATTTTCTACTACCCCTCTTTGTTTTCCTCCATGTTTACAGTTGTGTTTACACATATCACGCGGACATTGGCATTGGAGAACAACTATAACTTCGGTTGAGGAATCACTAAATGAACTTGTTTCAGAGACACCCTTATAGGGCCCACCATGCATTGTATTTCAATAATCTGAACCATCTATTTTTAGATATTCCCTCAAAAATCATCTCTGCAAAAAATCACTTGAATATGAAACCATTTGACCACTCAATTATATTGTTGTTATTATAGTCTTTTCTTAAAGCACCATGTTCGTCTATTTTGTTGGTCCCAATTAGATGCCTTAATGATTTTCAATTTTCCTGATTTTTTTTGTAAGGATAATCTATGATTGAAGACTTGAAAAATAGATGGTTTGAATTGTTGAAAAAAAAACCATAGGGGACCTTAAAGGGTACCCTTCAAATAAAAGTATTTAAGGGATCCCTCAATGGAAATGGACTGTGTGTGTGTGTGTGTGTGTGTATAGTGTGTAATTTATCACTATACTATTGAACTTATGTGTAGCACCCTAACTTGGCGTGTTGAGTCCCACATCGGTAAGCTACTAAGTTGATTTTGGCTTTATAAGTGATTGCAGGAGCCTCATTAGTGACTAGTCATTTTGAGATATTGCGCTGAGGTTGGCGTGAGCTTCCGTGGATTGTGATAGATGGTATCAGAGCCAACCCAGTGGCTTTTACCATGTGGACTCAGGGGCACATGTGTGGATCTTGACAAAGATTGTCAAGATGATTACGGGCCATAACCAGGACGTCAACCATTTAAGTGGGGGTATATGTGACACCGCGCAGGTTGGCATGTTGAGTCTCGCATTTGTAAACTACTAGATCGATATGGGATTCATAAGTGATTGCAGGAGCTAACCTAGTGGGTTTTACCATATGGGCTCGGTGACAGGACCCGCCCCAAATTCCTTGGAACCCATGACGGATTCTATGGTTTTTTCGACATCCAATTGATGCCAGGCCCAGTTACTAATTACGAACATCCTCTTCTCCTAAAACAAAGGAAAAGATGGTCGAGACTTCTACTGAAATTTAGGCAGAGTCTCCCCTGAAAAGCAGACTTTTCCCAAAATTTCAACTTGTCAAAGCACAGTCATAATAATCCAACTAGCAGCATGCACAAAGTAAAAGCACACAGTTTAAAATTCTCAAATTTCAGCATGCACAATCCACCCTCTAAGCACAATCATAAGTAGTTGTAAAGACTCAATCCACAATCATTCATCTATCTAAAACGGGTTTTAGCCCCCTCACAGCCACAAACATTTTAACCACATGCCTTCAGTAAAAACTGGAATATAAACAGGCATTTAATCTCGCCTAAGTTTAATCGGGCTTCAGGCCACCGACAAATTCAAAACCAAACTCAACAAATCTAATAAATAGGATTTGATCCTAATGACCAAATTAAAGTTCTAAAGATATAGTTTATCTCACGACTGCAACTGGGTGAGACCCCAGGCTACCTATGTACACTTACTGAAGGATCAAACCACACGTAGTTCTTCAATCAATAATCACGAACCATATAACATACAATTATTTTCAGTAATACCAACAAGTAAATTCTAGAATCATCTTTTCCCTTTAAAGAAAATCACAATATCTCACCCTATGAACACAAACACATTTTTCTTTATTCACTCCATTCTTAAGACTCATAACTCAACAACCATTTCCCCACAACAATTCACATATGCTAACCATAATTCTTTTAAACATTAATATTTTCCCCGATATAGTATAATAATCTTTTCCCATCTTTTCCCATATGCCACGCATAGTAAAGTAACAGTAACCAAAGTGTCCGAATCCTTTACCACACGCCGGAAAATCCAATGCCACATGTGACAAAGTACTAACAACCTAGTGAGCCCACATGTCGAAAAATCCAACGCCACGTATGGGTAAAGTAGCCAATATCAAATATGTCCAGGTTCTTTACCACGCGCCAGAAAATCCAACACCACATATGCTAAAGTAACTAGTAATTAGTACCCAAGGGAGCCTACACGCCAGAAAATCCAACGCCACGTGTGGGTATAGTAACCAAGGAAGGTACGTATGATTGTGAGATTCATAACCCATATATATATAATATAAAAAATAATATACCCTCCC